AGAGGTTGGGCCAGGTACCAGCTGCCCCTCCTGTCCTTACCTGGAGGAAGATGGCAGGGCTGCGTGTTACAGGGCTCCACATCCGCAGGCCTGGATGGCTGCAGGCTCCCACAGTGGCCGGGCGGGCCAATGGCACAGACCACCTGGCGCCTCCGAGTGCCTGAGCTGCAGCTCTTGGAGCACTGGGGCCCCCCGGGGTGGGAGTGGGAAGAGAGAACAAGCCCGCAAAGGGAGAGGGACCCTAAGACTGAGTGGGGAGTACCTATAAGGCAGGGGGAAGGGGGAAGGTGCCTGGTACTGCGTGTCAGACCCAAGGACAGGCACATGTGCAGCCTCCGGTCAGAGACCCAAGGGACTGGGATTGGGCAGCAGGGATGGGTGGGGGGAAGGACTCACTAGACCCCAGGCGCCTACGTGCCAGGCCTGGTCACTGAGTGGGGGACAGCTGTCATGCACACAGGGCTCAGTGAGGGGGGGACGGTCCTCCAAGGAGCACGCTGTGGCGTGGAGCAGAGACCCCTCGTCACCCCGGCAGGTGACAGTCCGCCTCCGGACCCCGGCACCACAGCTGACAGAGCACTGTAAGGACCGGGTTGTCAGCACGAGCTGGTCCTCGCCCAGCTGGAGGCCCACCAGCCTGGCCCGGAGGGCAGACAGCACCCTACTGCCCCATGCCCAGTTCCCAGGCTCAGAGAACCCGAGTCATCCTCCTGCGGTTACACAGCCTGAACCATGGCTGCAGATACCAAGCTGAGCTGCATTTTCCACATTCCTTCATTTGCAACTGCAACATAGGTAGGTGCCAGAAGCAGTGACCAGCAGCCCCAGTTTCTCCCTGGCCCCCAAACAATGTGCCCGGCTTCTTCTTTCCCACCCGGCCTGGGACCCTAGAGAAGGAGGAAGAACATGGGAGCAGGAATCCAAGCCCTCGCTCTAGTCCCAGCCTTGGCCACCGCTTCCAAGACCACATGGCAGGTCACTTTACTCCCAGGATCTGTCTGCCCGAGGCGGAGGACGAGCCCCCCAGCCCTGCCCTGCTGCTGCCCAGGCCCAAGACCCAGCTCCTGACTTCCACCCCTCCTAGAAAGGCCCGGGCCTCACCTCGCCCCAGGGCTCCGCGCTCCAGGCTGTGCAGCGCTGCAGGTTGCAGGCCTGCGTGGCAGGGGGCTTCTCAGGCAGGGCCGCACACTCGGTGTCCTCAGCAGCCTCCTGGACGCCGGCACCATCAGACGAGACACAGTAGACGGTACGGGACTGGGAGCCACGCTCACAGGAGGCTGAGCAGGGCGTCCAGGGCCCCGTCTTCCAGCTGGCAGGGAGCAGGAAGGCGGTGAGGCTGGCCCTGCAGCAGGTGCCAAGGTCCAGGCCCAAGGGGGCACAGGAGCGGAGGGGAGAACCCCCACCCGGCCCATTCTCTGAGCATCAGGCAGTGCATGTGAGGGGCACAGAGCCCTGCGCAAAGACCGAGATCCGGCCCTGCTCACCCATTCCCACCACTGTGCACTGGTCCCTAAAAACACGGAGCCTGGCCGCCTCCCTCTCAGCGTTCCTGTCCTCACCTGCGTCCCCCTTCCTCCTTCTCACCAGGTCAGCCATCACCCCCAGCCAGACTCCATCCCCTCTGGGGCTGAACTTAGTGGGGGGCATCTCCCAGAGGGGCTGTGCTCACCCAAGTGGGGAGTGGCCCTTCCTGGCCATGGGGCCCAAGGACCTAGAAGAAAGGGCCAGCCCACATGCAAAGCCACGCCCACCACCATCCCAAGAGACCAGCTGCCACCAAGGCCACAGGGAGGAAGGACTGCACAGCCCTGCGGGGAGCCTGTGGCCCAGGAGCACCTGTTCCTGCACACACACTGGGCCCCAGCGAGAGGCCACCCTGTGGGCTGGTGCAGGTAAGAGGTCTCTTGTGCACAAACACAGGCACTGCCGATGCCCTCAGGCCGCTTGGCCCAAGCCCTGGCCCACTCCTTGGCATCTGCCAAGTCCCCTGCCAGCTCAGACAAACGGGGCCTCCGATACCCCCCCCCAACCCTCCCGCCGCCAGCCTGGACATTCTGGGCACTGTGTGGGCTCAGGATTGCGGACAGAATAGCCTGGGGTCTCAGACTCAGGACCCCCCACTGCCCCCGCCCGGCTGACGGCTGGCTCCCCCGCCTCTGGCCACAGCTCTGAGGAGCCCCCCAACCTCCTTCTTTGCTCAGCGCCTAAAGTGGCTGAGGGACCCCACTCCCTTCCCACCTAAGAGCTTGGGTCCCGCAGGGGCCGAGGGGCTGGCAGGGCCTCACCGCTTGGTGTGTGGGCAGGGCTGAGGGCTGCAGGGGCGGCGGTCGGCCGGCCGCAGCGGGTGCCGGCACAGGTGTTCGGGGTAGACCTCATTGTCGATGGTGCAGAACACTGGGCGGGTCTGCTGACCTGCAGAGGCCCAGCCGTAGCAGGCAGCCAGTCAGTCCAGACTCGCCAAATGTATTCTCTGGGCCAGGCACCCTTCCGGACACATCCCAAGCGTCACCTTGATTAAGCCTCAAATGACCCCCTGGGGTAGGCTGCCATCACCATCCTCAATTTACAGATGAGGAAACTGAGGTTCAGAGAGTTGTATCTGTGGGTGATGGAGCCCCGCTCTGACACCTGACCACTAGCTCCAGGCCCAGCCTCCACTGACAATGGAATACTGTCTCTTGTGAGATGCCACTGCCTCGGGGAAGCCCTCTGGTTCTCTTAGGTTGGGCGGGGGCCCTTCCTCGAGTACCCTGATCTCTGGGTTTCCCCCAGGTGACCCCCATGACGTGAGGCTGTCTCCTCTACTTGTCCACCTCGCACCCACAGCTGGAGCGCCTGGAAGAGAGAGCCAAGCCCCGCGTGCAGCCGCGCCCCCTGACCGGGGCCCTGCCCTCACCTCCACCACACGTGGCGCTGCAGTCGCCCCACGAGCCGTGGCTCCAGCTGAAGCCGGGCCGGGGGGCGCTCAGGGGCAGGTGGTACTCGAAGCGCACGCCAGGGTTGGGCTCCTGGCTGATGAGCTGTGCAGGAGGGTCCCCACTGAGGCCTGATGCCAGGGGGCCGTGCCCGCCCAGCCCGCAGCCCTCCTGCCGGCCGCCCCCCTCTCCTGCCAGCCCCGCTCACCTCGACAATCAGGGGCTCCGAGGTGGGGCCGCGGGCGTGGAGCCGCTCGGGCGCCAGGTCCCCCTCAGCTCCCCGCTCATAGTGCAGGACGGTGCTGGCCACAGGGAGGGCCCGGGCGCCCTCGATGGTCCAGTGCCCGTTGAGGTAGTATTCACCACGGATGCTCTTCACCGCTGTGGGGGGCGAGCACCCAGGTCAGCCGCCCTGGCAGGACCCACCCCCCTGCCCCAGACCCAAAACTTTCCTCACCCAGGAAATTCCT